CTTCAGATATCATTTAATACCCTATTATTCCTCAGCAATCATTTTATGGCCAATCCTTCTTCAGATATCATTTAATACCCTATTATTCCTCAGCAATCATTTAATGACCAATCCTTCTTCAGATATCATTTAATACCCTATTATTCCTCAGCAATCATTTATGGCCAATCCTTCTTCAGATATCATTTAATACCCTATTATTCATCAGCAATCATTTAATGACCAATCCTTCTTCAGGTATCATTTGATGACCTATTATACCTTGGTGTTCATTTTATGGCCTACCATAGTTATTTTATGACCCATCTTCCAGCTATCATTTCATAGCCTGTCTCTTCCCAAGATATTATTTCATAGCCAATCATTCCAAAGTTTGACTATTATTTCCCAGTTATTTTTTTTCATTGTTCAATTACCCATAATGCATAGATATGCAAATAATACACAGTTCTTTTTCAGTTTCACAGATTCCTCATGATGCTAAATTTTTGTTGTTTTATCACTGCCTTTGTCATCATTTTTGTCTATCTTGGAGGGTTTGTTCATTATAAGTTCACAACTCAGGTGAGTAATCAAATTACAACAGCCAGACATGTACATTTCTAAAAAAACAAAAGTATGATTTTTTACAATGATGAACTATAGAGTGTTCTCCTTGTATATTGCGATAAATAGTGTGGGGCTGCAGCTAGTTACAGACTGATTATATTTTCAGCTTGCATGCAACATTATAGTTTACATATAATAGTTATGTTTTTTGTTTTATTTTTTTTCTACAGCCAAAATTCATCCATGCTGTTTGTGGGATAGTCACAGTAGCACTAGGATTCCTTAACCCAATACTGGCTTTGCTGAGACCTCATCCTGGAACTGTTAGGTAAGATTCATTGAATATGAAAAAAGTAATTTTAATAATTTGATTTCACAAAGGGAATTGGAACACAATGCTTGAATATTATAAGAACTATTTGTGTTTCATCTTCAGTTATACTCTGTATAGTGGCAGAAAGAATAAATTATTTCATTAAAAACAGCAAAATATACATTGCATTTGATCTTATACACTAATTATGAATTTCAAATGGTGGTTCAAAATACAACCATTCACAACACCTTCTACAACAGGCTGACAAGTAATTGGCGTTATCGTCTCTTGCGAGTACAAATTTCTTCTGCTCATTAGAATGTGGCACCAGAGTCTTCCGGGGTACTAATGTTGTATAAATCTCTATGAAAAAAAAACTGGTCATGTCTAAGTGAAATTCAGTGAAAAGAAGTTTTTTTGTTACCTCTCAATACTAAAATAGTTTATTCTTAACTTGTTTATTTGACTTTGCAGGCGTCCATATTTCAACTGGGCTCACTGGGTGGTTGGCATGTCTGCATACATCCTGGCTTGTAAGTATATCACTTGATAAATGGGGAGACTATGCATGTTTTGACAATGCTCTCAATTAATACATGTACATACAATCAGTGTTGATGTACAGTGCCTGCAGCACAAGACATAGCAGTACTGTAAGTTATTTCAGTTAGAGAAACAAGGCGAGCCTTTCAACATGGCTCTATGCTGTAGTCATGGTAAAAAGTTTTAATTTGGAAATATTGAATTTTGTTTGTGCAGCAACTATGTGAACATTATCATCAATATTATTGGACATTGACAACAATCCTCAAAAATGTTATGCAAGTAGTAGTAGTTATAAAATGCGCATATTTAATTTCAACCAGCAATATATGACAAAATTTCTCTAAATAATATATCTAATATTGATTGTTATTGTTTCATAGTGGCATGTATTTTTATTGGAATTGATCTGGAGAAAATGGATCTGCCGAAATATACAACCTGGACTGTGGTTGGATTTGTAGCTTTCCACGTCATGATGGAAGTACTATTAAAATTAGTAATTGGAATTGTAGAGGGTGCTGGTAAGTTAATAAACTATGTGACACAGTGCTTTCCCTTGAAGGAACATTTGTATACAACTTTACTGGAGTCTGGATTCAAATGGAAATCTATCCCTGACTGCATGTATTTTTTCAAACATGATTTTTTTTATAATTTAGCTAATAGACGTTCACGCTCACAGAATTATGAAATGTCTCCAGCTGGCAGTAATGGAGTTAAACAAGACGACCATGATGAACTCAAGCCCAATCTAACAGTAAGTTCATGTTTACATTCTGTTACATTGCAATCACAAGTCAGGTTAGAAAACGCATCGGATAAAAATATCTTAGTTTTAATGTATTCGTTTTCTTGACAGGGATCAACATATGCAGTTATACTATTGGTTATCCATGTTTTCGGTGTCATTGGTATAGTGACGTCCCTGGTTGTAACAACTGCACTCATGTAACGTTCTTGCATCATTAATATGTATTAAATGTTGTCACCATGACAACCAACAGGGTTAATTTTTTATCATTTGTACATAAAATCTTTTTGGTTCAGGTATTCTACACCTTTGGGTATATCATTTTTTTCTGATTTATTTTTATAACTGAATATTATGGTTACTAATAGCTATTAAACATCTGTCACCGTAACACCAATTAATTTTGTGGTATTTTATGGGGTATTTTCATCCTACCATATTAGGAAACACGAATTCCAAATATGGAACGATTCCGCGCATAAGCGTCCGCTAATAATAAGAACAAACATGGCTGCCCCCAGGGTTTGACCGGGCCCCACACAAAGAAGTTCCCTAAATCTCTTCAAAACATTTTGGATTTCGGCATTCCCATTATGTATCCCTGGGAGAAAAAGATGTATAAAAATAAGGTTATTATGAGGATACCGAAAAGTATGCACTCAGACAGTACAGTATGTTGCATGTTAGTTGATACTCCCACTGTACTGTCTTCGTGCGTACTTTTCGGTATCCTTGTAATATGTTATGTCACCATTGTATTGTCTTTTCGCAGAGTACATTATTATTCTAATTATTAACTCATGTAGACATAATATTGCATTTTAATTTGAACATCGGCAGTCTGGCCAAGGTAACAAACCATAGTTTTCTTCATTTATATTACAAATAGTCTTGGGTTCATCAGTGTTGCTGACACCGATGTATTTGTGGGTGGTTTTTACGTATCGTATTCATTTGAAGAACCATCATCTAGACTTTGAACAGCTGGTATGTTCATATCTACATAGATTGTTTGCGGCAACTACAGTCACTTGACAGACTAAAATCGCAATTATTATATCAAGACAATTTATTATTAACTGTAACACTAAAGAGAGGAATATTCGGTGTTTGTAGTAATATTAATCTGTAAACAATCAATAATAAATTGTTATTATTAGTCTAATTATTGTGAATTTCATCGCTCAATTGACTGTGGCATGTTTTTACTAAAGATGGTGAGACCAGTCAATTACCCAATAATTTTTTGTTATCTTTTATATTGCAATAAAATATATTAAAAATATATAAACAAATTTTGTGCAACATTTTGTCAGAATTTTTCTTGATAATTTTGAACCAAACAAACATAATTTACTATTGGCAACAAATCTTGATCGAAATTTTGAAAAGAAAAACTATTTTGAAAAAATTTGACTTTGGCACATTGTATTTTTCACAAGCTGTAATTCACAATACAGTATTTCCTCTATTAAAAGCATGTACATTTATGTAAATGTTTCTATAGCCATAAGTCATATTTCAATGATCAAGCATACAATAAATGTAATTTTCTTTTTATGTGCACTTCTACTAGATAGGCGCTTCTAATAAAACAAATACGGTATTTGATTTCTCCGTGTTGATCTTCCTGATCTTGTCCATTCACGAATGCTGTTATTAAGTGTTTCAAACTTTGTTACCACTTAGTCATGTGACCCATTGTTCTAGCCAATAAACCCACACAGTGTCTCATCATATTTCAGATTATAAACCGCTATGATTGTAAATTTCTTCCAACTAGCAATTTTATGGGGTTTTTTTAAAACCAGGCCTTAATTACAACCATGTAACTTTAGGTGCAACACTGACGAGGAGCTTTTCCTTGAAAAAATTATCCAAGGTTGGGTTTGAAGCCGCATTATTGGCGATTTGGTTACATGTAATTCAACAACGAAAATTGTAGACAACTAATGAATAGAAACTAAACATTTGAACATGACATCAACCATTTCTCAAGCATGCCTGGTTCCACTTTTATTCAAACACATGTTTTGTTTTGTGGTTTAATTTAACATTTCCAACTATTGGCCATGTTTATTTTCATATCTTCTTTACCATTTCTTTGACAGATTTCGTTTGAAATTGTTACGAAAATGAAACATAATTTTGTGTCTTCAAAAGTTAATTCAGGCAAACACAAACTATGCCATTGACAACATTTAGGTCTTGGGTCAGAAGTCTGATAGTGCAGATAGCCAGGAGTTTGCATCATAGAGTTACAACTGCAATGTACATTTCATTACATCACAAAGTTAGCACACATACACAAATTAATTATATCTCCTGCATTTAACAGAGACACTATTGACCTCTCATGTATGTGTGTGTGTGTGTGCTAACAATGCTGTGATAACTTCAATTTAACTTTACACCGACTTGTGACGACAGAACCTACATTGTAACGACCCTCACTATTTTCATAATTTATATTTAATATTGAATCCAATTTATGTCAAGTTTGCGTAGCTTAGGTTTAGTAAAAGGTGAAGGTATGGTTCAGTTTATAATAATATATTAATATAATTATACCATACCTACCCCTTTACTAAATCTAAGCTTTGCAAACATTTCTATGTTCAGTCACGGGATATTCACCTTTTATTTAATCAAACTTAATTAAAACGTAATTCTACATCGAATTGCATTGTAATTGATTTTAATTAAAACACAACCTTATATAGGAAAGCGTTTTAATCAAGTTCATATCGCAGCTATATTAAAAGCCAATTCATCGATCAACTATATTAAAAGTCAATTCATCGATCAACTATATTAAAAGTTTAATCCAATGTTGTTACAAGGCCGATAAGACGTGCGTGTTTGTGTAATATTAGAACACACAGAAATAAAACAAAATTAGGCAGAGGGTTGGCTCAAGACAAACTATAGTCATTATAATCAAATATAATAATTATAATCAATATCTTTATAGAACATAATGTAAAACACTCAGAAAGAAAATGAATACTATTACACTGTCACATTGTTAAAAACTTATAATATCATCTTCCTACTGATTTATAGATTTGATCTGAAC